TCTGCGATAAGCCGTCACTTCACCTTTTTTCATCTTTTTTTTTTTTTTTTTTGAGCTGCTGCGGCATTTGTTTTCCATTTGTCATCACAGTCCCAGTTAGCAAAGTACTGTGCGAAAGTAACTTTTCCGCAAGCATTGGGAACGTATAAAATCTGTCCGTATACAGATGATAGCCACTGCCAGGTGTAGCTTGCTCCACTTTCTCCAGCAGGTGGAGCACAATCCTGCATGTGAAGGGAAGCTCGGGACGGCAGAGGCTATCAGTTGTTGTGCTGCCGTAGTATGGTTCAAAGGCCGAAATGTAGCCTGTTTGGCAGTCAGCCAGCGCATAAGCGCGCATGCCCCATTTTGTTGGCTTCTGGGGATTGTAGCACTTGAATGAGACTCGGCCTTTGAAGCCGACAGTACTTTCATCTACGCAAATTTTGGGGCCGGCATTAAAATGCTCTCTGCATTTAGCATCTATGTAGGTCACAACATCCCTGATCTTGCTTCCATGAGTTGGTGGACCTGAAGAGGTATGTGGGCTTGGTGCAACGTGCAGCATCCAAAATATTTGAAGAAACCTTTTTCGTTTGAAAACGTGTGGGAAAAAAGGCATCTTTTTGAGGAGGTCGTTGCTAAAGTATTCCTTCAGCTCCGGTTTGGGGTTCAAGGCCATGTTCACTATAACCCCAAGGAAGGCTTTGAATTCTTTCACGCGCACATCTTCCCAGTCATTCCAAATCAAGTGCTGCTGAAGAACACCGGCACTCGAGATTTTATCACGGGCGTAGCGGTTTGTTTCGCGCACTATTTGCTCAATCAACTGGTCGGTGAAGAACAACTGAAAGTAGTCCAACTCGCACTTTACATTGGAAGAGCTTACTTGAGATCCCGGGTTCGGGACAGTAAAGGGAAGAGGGTCAAAATCTGGTAAATTATTCAAGTAAGCTGTCCAGTCGGTTCCACGTGGTCCTGTGTTGTTCTGGTTGTTTCCATCGTCTCTATCGTCCTCGTTTTCTTCCTCGCTGGCTTCTGTAGAATCACTTTCTTCGGTATCCGATGGAGCCACATAGTTGTCTTTGTCACTAAAATCGTCTTCGCTTTCGCTAAAAGCTTCAGAATTACCGCCGTAGAAAGCACTCGGTGAAAAGGCGGCCATTTCGCTGCAAGCGGCGCCGAATATGAGCTGCGCGCCACTCGAACAATCGAAGAGTTCAACCGCGTAAACTGCGCCATCTGGTGAAAAAAACAAAGATGAAATCAAGGCAGTTCTTGCCTTTTATAAGAGGTGGCGCAACATGCACAGTAAAAAAAAATGCGCGCGCAATTCAATCAGGAGAAAGCGTGTCGGGTAGTGCCCGACAGCGGACCGCTGCGGCCGTATTGTGTTGTCGGGCGGGGCCCGACAATGGACCGCAAAGGGTTAAATTCATTACAACTAGGCATAGACTGTGAGGTTAAAACATAGTGTGTCGTAGTATTACACTTTATATTCAGACGTTTTCAATTCACTAACTGCATTGCGGTTTACCATGAGAGTTATGTCTGCCTCTTTGAAAAGTCTTTGAAAAGTGGTTTGACAGAATGGCACCTTTTTTCCTACAGGAGCCTTCACATGAATTTGTCTGTCATAAACAATCACTTAATATATTCTGAAAATTAAACAAAACACTTTCACACACGCAATGATTTCGGAAAAGTTGAGGTGTTTGTTTATTCAGATCCTATGCACAGATTTCTTCTGGACAGTCACCGGAGATTGTGTACTTGCAAACCCTAATTTGCGAGAAATACTGGTCTAATCTACTGTTACATCACAAAGGGTAATCCAACTAACTTTAGGTGTGAGCACCGCAGATATCAACATTTACAAAACAAACGCCACTGTTGAAATAATTTTTTTCCATGGCACACTCGGCTAGCAACTTTGCTTGTATGGTAATTAAACATCCTTCACCTTACTGAGGCGACGACTTGTCTCAGACGTCATGTTTACCTACAGGTTGATCCTAAAGAGCAATCAACTGAAATGCGAACCAATTTACAAGGTGGCTATCTAAAGTGGTCTTACGAGTATACGAGCTGCGATGCTACACGATGATACAATCTGACAGAAATAAGATTTTGCGCACTTATTTTCAACCACCTCGGTGAAATAAAGCACCAAAATTATTGGGAGAAAAACATGAAACTAGAGAACATGGTGACTAAGCAAGTACGCAAGAAGAACGGACACAACAGCTGCGGCGGTATCCTAGGGTGAGCGCATTCGACATATGTTGCGAGACTCGATACTGCACGCATGCGTGGTGCATGGCACACTGGCAGAAACACTATCTGTAGATGCCCGGATTCATTCGATACAAATAGCCCCAGTGCAGGCAAAACCTTCATATCGCTTAAAATCACCCTCAAACAACTTAACCTAATGATGCAAATACGTTGTCTTGCAGGTCCAAATCACAACAGGATTAAGCAACAATGATTTTGCTGTATCTAAGCAGAAACATGTTCTTGCCTTCCACCCCCGTCGGCTGCCGAGACAGCAGCACAACACAAACCTGATTTCAGTTTTTGTACGACCAAGCACAGGCACCACTGACAGAAGCAAAAGTAAACTTTTTCTATTGTTTTACCAGGAACATTGTCGATGCTGTTTTCGTCATTCTTTGGTAGCTTGAGGCAAGCGAAAATCGAATGCCAACAATGGAACCGCGCTCTGGTGCCCACACAAGCAGTCATCGGCAGTGGAGTTGTATACAACAGGGGCACTTGCCTCCCCTCAAGCCACACCAGTGCTTGCCCTCACCCAAGCTACACTAGCACTCTCCCTCTCCCTAGCCGCCTTGCAATATGGGTTTGCACCCCCCCCCCCCCCTCCCAAGAGAAATACAGGCCAACACTTATGCATGCAGTCACATTTGTACCTCTGGAGAAGTACTCTTCTTCCCTCAGGAACCTCTTCGTTTTATCGCTGAATGACCCTCTCTATGTTTGCTGAAGTTATAGTAAACAGCGAGTGCACACTTTTTCCTTTTGTTTTCGCATTGAATGCAACTGAAATTCGTAGTCAATGGTTGTGCATTTAAAAGTAAAATGTCTGTTTCAGGCACATTGTTTACTCAAATCAAAAAATAGCTTGTCCTATTCAACCAGTTGTATTCTATGTCTAGTGTCTGTTGCAAAAGAGGTTGAGCTCGTGGGAGTGATACTCGTAAGATGACCAACACTGTGTGTGTCTTTTAGTATACCCATTCGTCTTTTACGTCAGTATTTCTTGTAAATGAGTTCAGCTGTAAAAATTTGCTGCCTAAGAAACCTTGGTTGTGGGGAGGAAGCAGCCGAAGAAGGAAATTGCCATCTTATTTAGTGGGAGCATGTCTGGAAGCAGCAAGCTCATGATGGCAAATGAAAAACCCAGATGCTTTAAGAATGCACATCTTCCTCCAAGAGATACTATCATCTACAAAGCTAATAAAAAGGCCTAGGTGACAGCGGTGACATTCAAGGAGTGGCTTCCTGACTGGAAGTTGGCTGTCCGTGGGTGGAATGATAACTGCCTGACCCACGGCCACATCAGGTACCTAGAAGCAATCAAGATCTCGCCAAATGCAGATGAGGGAAATTTCCTGCCTGAAATGGGCTCTGTTGTGCCACAACAATGGCTAGCAATAACCCCTTAGATCTCCTTGGTGCAAGTTGTCCATACCTGGATAGAGCAGATATGTAGTAAAGGAAACGTCATAAGGCGTGCCTTTGGCTAGGCACAATTTCGCAAACAGCGTGAGGAGGGCCAGGATAACGCTTGCAGCTCCTCCTGCGTAGACGATGGGGGAGACTCACTGTGTACCTGGATTACCGACTCCAGCAATGAAGACGGTAACAGACCAGGCTTCACGGAATGCTTAAAAGTAGAAGCAGGTGTTCCAACATCTTTCACTGACAGGCAAGATGGCACTGTGGGTCAGATGGCTATGGCGACTCCAATGTTGGACCCACCTGTGAGCCCATTTTAGCAGCAGTTGTTGATTTTGCTTTGTTGCAGTTTTGTTGGGTGCACTGGTGGCCATTTTGATATGCTACATGTTGTGAACATGGCTGTAGAACATGGCTCTTGGGTTGGTGAACTACTGCATCCAGCAATCTCAAATCAGTGATTAATTACTTCAAGTAATCTTTTTCTGACATAGAAAATAAGTGCGATTTCATTTTGTGGCATGTCTATGCTTCCCTTTATTTTCTTGTTTCACCTTGGTTCATTTGTAGATTTGCTTAATTAAAGGGACACCAAAAAGCAAAACACTTTTTCGCATATTAGTAAAGTACAAATTCACAATCTTGAAAACACCGCCCTTACGGCAACATGACCCTTGGTAAGTGAAAAAACTCGTGCAAAGAAACTGCGGTTTGAGACACCACCTTGAGATTACTGCACCTAACGCTGTGATGTCATCAATTTTTGAAGGCGTCTACTGGATCTTATGTAGCTTCTAATCGATAAAATTGAAGTAAGTTGTAATCTGTTGGTGGGGGCCATAGACTTGACATACGAAGTCTCCGAAAATTTTATTGAGCCAATCTCGCGAAAATACGAAAAATACTTTGTCGAATTTCTTACGTCACATGCCGAGATCAAGGCACTGATTTTATTACTGGAAATGTCAACCTTGATTTTCTCCACTTATAATGAACTTATGACAGCAAAACTTGTGACATAAGAGTTTTCAGAGTCCAGTTTATCAATCTAAAACAACTCGTTTCACTTTAATGCCTTAAATAAATTTTGTGCTCTGACAGCCTTTGAATTATCGAGGGTTTACTGTATCATACATATGTAGTATGAAGCTGTTATGAGGCTCCTCTTAATAAAACGAATCATCAAAATTCATTATAGTGTGAATCCGCTACATTCCACCGCAGATTGCAATTTTGTGTAGTATTTCCTTTGCTATTTGCTTTGATTTTTCTACATGTCCAGTTCTGGTGCTCAGGCGAAAATTTATCTATTTGTGCAGGAGGTATTTTAACTAGTACTCCAAGCTTTGGGGCAAAGGCACACACGGGCACGCCTTCACATGTACGCCATCCATCTGAAGACTTCATGCTGCGCTCAGGTTCATCAAGCCAGAGAGCAAGCATTGTGCCCGATACACCAGCTGCTACAGCAACTGCTTCCACTTCATTTGCTGATGCCAGTGAACCAGGCCCTTCTACTCGTCAAGACACTGTAGTGCAGCCTATGGCAGTTGAAGACGAACCTCAACCCTCAACATCTACAGCTCCTGAAGGTGGAAGGGATAGTGGCAGTGACCAGTCATTTGCACCTCAGATCATTGATGAGCAAGCTTGTGCTGCTGCGATTGCGGCACTGGTTACTCCAGCTCCTGAGAGTAAGGACAGTGGGGCGACCACAGTGGTTGATCTCTTGGACCCTGCAACATTTACCTTAGACCCTGGTTATGGTACGCCAGCCAAACAGAAGATCACGCGCGAGAGCTTCATGAACCCTCAGGGTACTCTGGCTCAGAGTAAACCGGACCCTATGGACCCTCTGAGTCAGCTGGACCCTCTGTGGTCGCTAAAAAAGGGAAAAGAATGAACTTTCTACAGACAAGGTCTGCTGCGCAGGTCTTGTATTGCTTGTAGTGGACCATATTTTTTGTTGGGTGTAAATTCATTTTGTGCAGGCCACAAAGTGTGTGGCTGTTCGGCTTGAAGCTTTTGTTTCAGTCTATTGTCTTTATTAGCACTTGTGTGAGTGAGTGTTTCAGTTGTATGGAGTAAGGTTTTATATATGTTGTTAAAACAGTTGGTTTGATGTACGTCCCATGGGCACAAGAAGGTGTGATGTTTTTTTTTCTTTACCAGAGAGTAACCAATGTTGTATCTTTTTATTGTAAGCTTGTATATTTAATAATAAAAAAATGTTTCAAATGTTGCAGTTATTTTTTCCTCCATATGCTGTGGTCATAATTATGCATGTAAAATGCAGAAAATAACATTTGTGGACGCGTTACCTGCACAAATAATATTGAGTTATTGTGCTCCGTACGTAGCATTCGTAATGGCGTTGTGTACATAAGAATGCTGCATTCCGCATAGAGCATATCTGCAGAATTTCTGCTCATGCGCACTACGTGAAGTACAGTGTTCTTGTGTATGCCATGCCGTTGCAGATTCTACGTACGTAGCGCTAAAACTCACTATTTTAGGAGGCTACTGCCAGACTTAAATTTCCTTTTATATATGGGGTCATTTTATATCAAGTCTCGCTTAAAACAATACATAGTTCTAACAAAAAAGATGTCTGTAATCTGTTTTCTATGTACACATCAATGTTAAATATGTAAATAAACATATGTGAAAGCAAGAGCAAAGTTTGGGTACGGGCTAGTTGGTATTTTATTAGGTATATACAATGCAAGGGAACACGCGGGGCAACGATACGAGCTGCAACAGCGTAGCAACAAGGTGCGAAAAGGGAGAGAAGGCTCTCCTGGTATGCATTGTACATACTGTTGCTGTATTCTATATTTGCAGGATGAGTGTATTTGCAAAGCATCCTAACAAGAATACAAGACTAATCATAGAAGCTGCAGCAATCGCTGAAGGTAGCTGTGTTAGTAAGCCTTCAATAGCTTTATCTGAGAAGAAACTTTAATTCTTGTGCCCGCACATGCACTCTTGTTCTTTATTGGGCTGGACTGTTCCTGGTTGATTGGTTTAGAGTGCTCTCTTATCTTAGCTTCACGTTTTTGGAAGGGGACATTTTTTATCACATGCTGTGCTTTTTCCACACACTGTCATTTTCATAAATTGCTTGTTCAAAATAAAGATTCATTTGGAAGTCGGCAATCGTCTTTGTTCATATTGTTGGATATAGAGATTTGTGGGGGTTTAAGTATCGTACCGGATACTATTGTTGCAGTAGTATCTTGTATCTGTATCTCCCAATACTTTTTCTCTTAGCATCTTGTATCGTATCGCAAATACAATTTTAAGGTATCTTTGCCCAGCTCTGAAGAACAGGCAATAAAAAAAAGAGATTGAGAGAGAGATAAAAAGAGCGTGGCTTCGTGGGAGAATACTCAACCGCCATGTAGAGGGCCCGGGTTCAAATTTCATTTTAACTATTTTTTTTCTTCCATTTTGTGTTATAGTAGTTACGTGCACCAGTGGCGGCGGTAGACAACTATGGCTCCAATATCGCCTGTTATGATCTCATAACAGCTTTTGCTGCATACGGCTGATTTGCTCTAGCACATGATAAATAATTATTTGACATTTTTAGAGTTTCCAGTCACAGTTCTTCAGAAAACAGAGAGAAACACAAGGCCAGGGAGGTTTTGTAGTAAATGCAGCTAACCATGTGGCTGTGCAAAACAGCAACATGCATTCTATGCATGACTTGGCTTGTGGATGAGTGCTGCATTGATACCTGCAGCAGGAAGCACACATTTAAGTATTGCAGTGAACACAAACTTGTAATATAGACAAGCTGTTGGCTGTGTACATTAAATCCAAGCTGATGTCAATGTCATTATGTGCTCCACATTGCAATGAGATGCACAGCATAGAATTTTTACTGATCTTAAATGTGTTTCATACTATATTTGCTATTGGTATTCTCCAAATGATGTGCATTTGGCTATACAACTCTTTCTCATATGTTATCTCACCTGAAAAATTTTGCATCAGTACTTTTAAAAAGCAGCGAAACGGTTTTGCAAATTAAAAAAAAAAGTGTTTTTGAGTACAACATTAATGTTTACATTAATTAATTGCACAGAACTTGTAGCAAGAAATGTTTCTGAATGAGCTTACTTACAGCGCAACGGTATTGACAGATGATGATAAACTTGCAAGAAACTATTTTGATGCAAAAATACAGCGCAACGCAAGATACAGGACAACAATATCAACACGCCTCGCCACGGTGGTATAGTGGCTAAGGTACTCTGCTGCTAACCTCCATGCCATGGGATCGAATCCCGTGTGCCCGTGGCCCATGTGCTCAGACTTTGCACGTTAAAGAACCCCAGGTGATCAAAATTTCTGCAGCCCTCCACTACAGCATCTCTATCATATGGTGGTTATGGGACGTTAAACCCCACATATTATTATTATGCGCGTGGCTGTTGAAACAAGCGCCACTTGCCGATGGGGCAGGCGCCCTCACCTGTCCTAATCAGCCGTGCAATGAATTCTGGGAGTTCTTTGTGATCGGCAAGCTCTTCGCTGCCCACCTTAGCAAGCGTCAACCCGGCCCTGCAGCGCCTTCAGTGCGTGAAGTAGATTGAAACATTGTGATTATTTCTTCCTTTGAGTTTCGTTGCTACAGTCTGCTATTTCAATCCACTTAGCTCTTGTGTCCTGACGAGGAGTCTCTTATAATCGTATGGTGGTTTTGGGACGTTAAACCCCATATCAATCAAATTACACTATCGAATGTATTGGAAATACAGATACTTGTTTTGCGAGACGTATCGTGATACAGATAAAAGATACCTAAAGAGTATTCAAGATAGTATCTAAGATGCATATATTTTCGATCTCCGCACTGCCGAGCCCTGTTGTTCTTAGACGTGTAGGGGGGGGGGGGGGGGTAAAAGGTTCCAGGCCACGCTCTCATAGGAATACATGGGATAGTGGCCTGGGGGGAACGTTTTACCCCCCCCCCCCCCCCGGACATCAAGCAACAAGCTACTGATCATACACTAGTTTAAAATTTCCGAGCGCTGCCAAGGTTTCTTTCCTCGACAACCACTCAGGTACAAACTCCTGCGCATTCTGCAGTTCAACACACTTGGCCATACACTCTCCAAAATACAATCGTGCGGGCCGTGTATCTGGATCGCAATAAAATCCCGCCGTACAAGCCTGCCATAAACAGTAAAGGCCATTTAGCATGATCAAGTCAAAAGACTATCTCTCTTCATGAACTATTCGTAGAAATCTTATACCATGTAAATTTTAAACAAATCCTTCTTCATCATCCTTTGAAGTACGTCCTAAATATCAGGTCAACATATGTAATACAGAATGGTAGTGAAAAGTAAACTAACAACCAGACATTGCACAATGCAAATTGCGCTGCAGTTGTGTGGGTGAAAGCTTCCCACCCACTACAAAGGGCTTGGCCATAACATCAGCCAAAGCTTCAGTGAAGTGCACATAATGCCTTAGAGATGTGCAGCGGACATCTTGTGTCAGAATGACGAACAGTGGCATAATGGGTGCTTCCACAGTGCAAAAAAATTCTGATTTATGGCATAGTGGATACCCTGCAAGTGTTCTTAACTTAGTTGTCCTAAGGAAGTTTGCAACAGGATCTAGATAGGCGACTCTTCCGACTTTTGTTGTGACTGTTCTGTGTATTGGGTGCAGGTCTGGCATTCTTTAAGTGTGTTTTAGATGCATAGTTCACGCCTTACAATATTATTGTGGTGCTCGCATCTCTGCAAATTGTTCTCCAGAGAAATGTTTTGAGAAACAACTTTTTCTCTGATGGTGAATGGCGTTCAATTGAAATGAATAACTGCAGGTGGATGGGCACCAATTTGGTTCACTTGGCATAGCATGAAGCACTGAAAGCAGCATCCAAGGAATGTTCTACTGCAACATTTTTTCTAGATTGTTTAGTAAAAACAAATTGGAGCAAATCAAATCCGATTGTGGGCTGCCCATCATAAAGCAGGGGCATTGTCTCAACGACTGCTCAAAAGTAACATTCCTTGACTGCCTTCTTTCGTTGAAAACTAAGAGCCATGTTGCAAGTGTCTTCCAGTTGCCTTCCCGTTCTTAATGTGATTAGTATGTATTCTAGAAAATATGTATGCCACAAATTCGCAAGCACTTCAACTTTGTAAGATGAGCATGTGTCCTTAAGTCAATCATTTAAAAGTTAATTAACAATTTTTTGTCAATTAGTCTCAACAGTGTCATGCTAACTGTGCCAAAATATTTTTGCCTCAACGTTGAGTTTGTGTGCAAAAAACGACAAAAGCTGTACAGTCACGGGATTTTTATTAAAAAAATTCGTATTAGTTAAAAAACACCCGGTATTAACCAAAATCAGTATAGCATGCCATCATTGTGCAATACACATAAACAACTGGCTATAAAATAAAAACTGTGACATGCATACGACATGATTTACATGCCATTCTCATGGTGTGATCAAAGCTGATTCGCTAGCTTGATATTATATACCAAAATTGGTTATGCGAGGTGACACTATGATAAACATAAGGGACAGGTCGTAACTAGAGAATTATGAATTGCTTGTTATGTATGTCACGGTTTACGTGACAGTCTTGAAGCACTTGTGGCTGTTTCGTTCACTACATATATACCAAAATTGCTTTGGCGGGATATGACCAGCATGACATGTACAATGGGATTTTCATGACACTGTCCTGGTGTGCTTTCGACCATTTCAGTAACTGGATGTATATACCAAAATTTTGTATAGCATGCATAATAAACATAAATGAGAGGTCATACATTGTACATACCAGAATGCACGTTTCATTAAATGGTATGTACCATATTGTATCTGCATACTATCTGGATGATTCCTGGACACTGCGGCCTGGTTGGCAACGAAACAGCCGATAGCGAAGCAAGAGCGGCAATATACAACACTCCTATGTACGTCAAAGTACCGTACTCGCGAAGTGACGTCAACACATTGTTGAGATCACTCATGCGCGAATGCGCTGCCACTTACTGGTCGCTACCAGATCAACGGAACAAGCGCCTGCGGGAAACAGACCCCGGTATGACTTTTCGTCTTCCAGATAAAATCAGCCGAAGATATGCTAATATACTGCACTGTATTCGCCTGGGCATCGCCTTCACTCGCCACTACATCCACCTAATCGGCCGTGCGGACAGCCCGAATTGTGAACGCTGCCAAGTGCGCAAAACGATAGCTCA